CAAGGCAGCAAAGCTTGTGGCAGGTGGTACTGGGTTACGTGATACCAGTAGCAAGATTGATCTCGATTATCCTGACCTGACCTGGAGTAGTTAAAAGGAGTTACTTCCCGCAACAGTACTTTGAGAAAACCAGGCATGACATTTTGGAAGTGCATTAGGAAAAACACTGCATCTAACGAAATACAGGAGTCTAAGGTGAGTGTAGGTTTTGTAGTTGGAGTAAGTAGTTAGTTACTGAGCTCACGCTGCATTAGAGTATAAACAGAACACAAACAAACATAAATAAATATAAATCAACTTACGGGTGAGTCAACACCGCGCCAGAGGTTCAGACAGAACACAAACATACATAAAAAACATAAAATGAGACCCTAAATTCAAAGGCAACTGCAACAAATTTAGATAATTCACGCATTAAGCGAATGGAAAAGAAGTTCACAACTGCAGAGAAAAAGCATAGAAAAAGATTGCGAGTTAGAAAAAAAGGATTTTTTGATAAAATGAATGAAAAAAAATCTGTAGATTTATATCAAACTGGTGCTTACTGAGGAGATTATTTATTTATACTTATTTTTTTAACATTTTATTTTTGTTTTGCATTTTTCTCTGTTTTCAATTTTTTGCATACTTGCTATAACTCAAAACATGATAACTCGAGATAGAGTTGAGCATTTGACTTGAAATTTTCAATTTGTGTTTAATATGATCTAATACTCCGGATGATTCATGTATTTTACATAAAACACTTATTATCTTGAGAAAATTCAGTTTAGGTGAAAATTTGTATGAATATTTGTTGAAAAAAAGTAGTATTTTCACAAAAACTTAAATAACTCTTAGAGTAAAAGGATTTATGCAAATCCTAAAGGTCATCCGGAGTATAATATAATAATATACATATGGACAAAAGGATTTTCAATTTTGCTTTTGCTTTATCAAGATACCATGTTTTAAAAACATCATTTGTAAGGGTCAAAATTAACAAACTTTCCGCCATTATGGATTTTCTGTTTAAAAATAAAAAAAATTTTTTTTGCAAACTATTTCTCTTAATGTATTTAACAGTTTAAATAAACTAAAAAATGTTGCATTGACGAGTTTCAGAAAGTAGCTTATTTGCATCCCTACCACCTTAAGTAACTTTCAGATTGGAGAAAACTCAAATTTTGTGTGTGTTTATTATTAAGTCAAGTGAAAACGCTTTACCAAACAACAACAAAATGTTTAAAAATTTAAATCCTTCCTTTTTATTTTTCTTTTTCAAGTAAATGAATTTAAAAACAAACATTTTTATCATCCTTAGCTACACTTATATTTATAGAAGAAGTTTACATTTTATTAAATAATCTCTGAAGTTGCCAAGGGTTTTAGTTAGGTTTTTAATGTTTCAAATATTACATTGAGACATTGCGCAAACTCCAAACTTAATTATGTTCATGTTTACGTCAAATGAGAATTTAAAAAAAAAAAAAAAACTGCGGTGAATGGAGCCTGGGAACAAAAATACCCAAAAAAGTTTAATATAATATGTGAAAAAAGTATACTTTATTATTTTATTGCTATCACATTTGAGATTGCGGGGAGGAAGGGTGCAACCTTTCAACACACAACGAAAACCTTAATAACACTCACATAAACAATATGAGAAAACTTAGAAACGACAGAAACTATTTCTTAAATAGTTGGGTTCCTGTTAAAAGGTTTGGTTTCGGTGAAGAATTTATTATTTTGCAAATTTCGAAATTTAGCAATTTCAATACGTTTGTAAATAATTTTATTTTCAAACTTCGTAAGTCACTATTTAAAAGGGTCTTTGAATATTTTGATTTTCTGTCATTTCTTTTATTATTTTCCAAGTGCGCCTTGAATTGTTTGAAGTTTGCTGAATCTGCTGATCTGATATTTGCTGAAATCTACTTTAAACTGTTTGTTTAACATTTATACAATATTATAATATTCTTAAGCGTTTTCTTCTTAAATTTCATTATATGCACATATTCTTTTATTAAAAAAATGTGTTAACAAGAAACAAAGAGAGTACAAAATTTATGTTTTTTTGTTTAGGTATTTTGTTTGTGAACTTAACGTAGTTAACGTATGTTTATGTATTTTTTTTTTTGTTTGTTTAGTAACCGTAAGCAGCATAATAGTTATTTTTTTTTGTTTAGTAACTGTAAGCAGCATAATTTTTGATTTGTCTCGTGTGTTTATTCTCTCAGCTTGTTAAGAAACCTTTATTTACAAAACCTTTATGCTTACGTCAAACTATTGTCGGAATTCTAAAAAAGACGAGAGACTTCAATAGAAAGTCATAAGAATATTGTAAAGCTATTTGTTTATATCTTCAAATTCACGAATTCTCTTTCATTTCAAAGTTTTATCAAAAATTTATCCTTTATTTTTGATAAATGAAATCAAAATGATAAGTAGGTAATAATAAATATGATAATCAATGAGAAAACAGTTTTTATATTCTGAATATTAGAACTAGAGGCGATTCTACAAATAAAATGAGGGGAGGGGAGGAGAAGGAGGTGAATCCTTAAAAAGTACTGACTGGCTCCTAAAAAAAATCTCTTCAAAACTAAAGTTCAAATACCCGGCTATGTTCCTCAAAAAACTTGTATATGTATATATATATATATATATATATATATATATATATATATATATATATATATATATATATATATATATATATATACATGTACAAGCGTATGCGATTTAGAGACCAAATGATTTAGAGACCAAATTGTCTTGAATTAGAAAAACAGATTTAATTCTAAAATTACTCAATATTTGCCACCTTCAATATGTTTCCAGATTCGACTGGTTAGAAATGTAGTATATAACTTAAAGTATGTTTCCAATAATTAATCTTTATCCTTTGATCAGCAGATCGTAAAAATAACTTTTTTTTTTTACAAAATTATTAAAGTAAGAGATAGACGGGAGCAAACAGAAGAAGATTGTTTTATCAACTTTTCCCGTTAATTTCAGTTATATTTCACAATCAATATCAATAAAATATAACAACAAGTTATAAGATATTTGTAGCGTATATAAATAAATATATATGAATAAAAAATCCGAATAAATATTATTACAAGTAAATGCATTTCTATAAATATAACCATATTTTAATTGTATAAATATTTAATTGTATAAATATATTTTAATTATATTTTATAAATATATCCATAAATATTTATTATTACAAACAAGCTATTGTGTACATGAAAAAAAATTCGAAAAATATTTAAAAGAATGAAATATTTAAAAAATCTATAAAAAAAATATATAAAATACGTAAAATATACATCAACTACGAAGTTAAATAATACAGCTAAACCCCTTAATTTTTCAAACATTTTACTTGGTTGCTTAAGAGGTTTACATTAAAGCGTCAATAGCCTGAGCCTATGGAGTTCTGTTTTTCAAACTTAAGAATAGATTGGAAAGCTTTTCGATTACATTTCATTTTTTATTATAGCGATTTTGTAGTTTTTTGAGGTTTTTAAAGGTGTATAAATTCTGTCTACTTTTAAAAGACTGTCTGCATTTAAGAAAAAATAATTTAAGTTAGTTGTTCTCATGTATTTTTTTTTTGTTAGGTAGACCTCCCTCTTTATAATCATATATTCTGAACTTTACGGGTGCTTTCTTATTTGTTACCAAAAAAGTTTTTTTACAGTTGCGGATCAGTATATATTAATTATTCTTAAATCAAAATGTAGTAAAAAAAAGGAGTTCTTTTGCTGAGAAAATTCTAGCATGCTGTTAGCTTTTTTTTTTGTTTTTTCGCTAGAATCACAACACATCTCTCTGGTTTTCATGATTTCAAAAAGGTTTTTCTTTAGTTACGTGTTTTCGAATGTTTATTTATTTGTTTTAATATTTTTTTTGGTACTATGCGTTTTTTGTTAAAGTATTACGCCTTTTGCCTCGTCTAAATATTGAATTAACTTATTTCTTACGTTCTTATTAGTTTAATATATAGTTTAAATCAATTTTTTTAACAGTTGATTTTTTTTAATTTTTTTTTACTTAATAAAAATTTTAAAATTTTTATTTTTTTAAATGTACCTGAAACATAAGTTATAATAAATATAAGGAAAAAGAAGAGTTAATGGTGACGGTTGCACCGGTATGATTATGGGTGGTTGTCGTTTAAGTTTTGGTAATAAGAAGGATACGTTGTTGGTATTTAATTGGTATATAGGTCTGCCGGGGCCTTATGAGGTATTGTCAAATTGTTTTGTTGCTTTAATCTCTAATTTAACTTAGCTTAGTTGAGTGTTGTTATTGAGGATGTTGTTCAACTTTTAATAAATACTACTAATATAAAAGATCATAAAGATTATTTCCAGACTCTTTTCCATTAGAAGATTCCTTTTCTAGTTTTTTGTTGGGCTTAAAGCCCATATATTCAAGTTAAACATTTTTTTTTGGTAAAAATACAAATGAGTATGCTTGTTATTATTTCTCCATAAATTCTTCAAAGCTTTTCAATCCTCTAAAATTTTAATTTTTTTTTCAGTCCGAATTAATAAATATTAACTAATTAGTTTGTTGAGCCTAAAGCATTTAAGCTTCCATTTTTTGAAACACGTTTTGAAACACGTTTTGAAACAGGATCGTTCAATAATTTTTGATAAAGGTGGAATGTGTTTAGGGGTCGTCCATAAATACGTCACGCTATAAAGGGGAGAGGGATGGTGGTTTTGTGACGACTCATACAAAACTTGTTACGATTTTGTGACGAGGGAGAGGAGGGGAGGTCAAAAACTGTCAAAAAATGTATGACGTAGTTTATGGACAATCCCTTAGTTAACTTTAAATTATGATAATCACGCGAAAAATCATTGAAAATTAAGTTGCTACAAAAGCTGTTCCGTGAAAAATGACATAATTTAAGTTCATTCTCCCTCCAGCTATTTTAACTCCTTGGTTATACTAAGGTTAGTATAATCAAAAAATGTAAACATTTTTAAACAAAAATCAATAAGCGTTAAATGTCAAAGTACAAGAAAATTGTTTTACTAAAAGTGTTTCCTTAAGGGTGTGAAACCTACGATAGATCTGAATTAGTAAGAATTTAGTAAGAAGTTTACTAAATTTTACACTGATTACCCTTAAAAAATAATTATGTTTTTATGGAACGAAATATGCTACAAGAAAAAAGAAATGCTGCTCAATCAGTTAAAAGCAATAGAACGAAAGATTACTATTCGATAATTGATTCACCAATTGATGTTGAAGATACCCACATCAAACATGATTTATGGGATAATGAAGCCAAAAGGGGAAATTTGATTACAGGGCCTTACAGCTATGTTAGTATTAACATCAACCCCCGTGATAAGATTGAAAATGATTTGTTGGTCGAACCATCTGATTCAGTTAAACATATTGAAGTAAACAATGACTTGTATGCTATAGTCGACAAAACGAATTCAGGGTCAATAAATAATGTAATAAATAGTCAAAAGTTATCTTGCAGAAAAAGTAGCACAAATGAAACTGTAGCTATTGATAGAAAAAACAATTCAGCACTTTCTATTGGTGATGTCACTGAGAGTAAACCACCGATACCTAAACCTTACAGATCTGGTAATGCTTTAGTTTGAATTTTTTTTTTTTTTTTTTTAATTAAATTTAATATACATTGTATGTTTATTTTGATATGTATTCATTGCGCTTTAATGATATTTAAAGTATTTATTGAAACTTAAGCAGCAACACAACAACAACAACAAAATATTTACCAAAAATAGAAAGGTACATACCTATAACAAAGGGAGTCATATTATATATGTATATATATATATATATATATCTATCTATATATATATATATATATATATATATATATATATATATATATATATATATATATATATATATATATATATATATATATATATATATATATATATATATATATATATATATATATATATATATATATATATATATATATATATATATATATATATATATATATATATATATATATATATATATATATATATATATATATATATATATATATATATATGTATATATATATATATATATATATATATATATATATATATATATATATATATATATATATATATATATATATATATATATATATATATATATATATATATATATATATATATATATATGTATGTATGTATATATATATATATATATATATATATATATATTATTTTTTTTTTTTGACTCGATACATGGGTTTTGCTTGTGTCTCTGTTTTTATGACTAGGCAACTCATTCTATTATCTCCAAATGAGGGTACAGCTCTAAAACTCAGTTTTATGGTTCTGAGGCCGGCTGGTAGTCAGGTTTCCTGAACTCTGTGGTAGCTCTCAGAGAGGCTGATTCCATCAACAGCTGAAAAATATCAGAGTACTAACAGTGCCATGTTGCGCATGGATGGTGTTCCTGTTTTTACTTTTAGTGTGCATTGCCAAGGCCACATTATAGCCCTTTGTTATGGCTTAGGGTTTATTGGCAATTGCTTGGGCTACAGAACAGTGTTCTGAGTACTATCTATGTTTTGAGTCTAGTTCTTTAACAAAATTAAAAATGAATCAAGTACCAAAAGCTATACAACTTTAAAAAAACCATTGTAATCACCAAGTTCTCTGAGTCTATCATTTACTAATATTCGTGGTCTTTGAAGTAACTTTTCTTCTGTTGAGTCTTATCTCTTGCAAAGTTCACCAGACTTTCTTGCTCTTTGTGAGACTAATTTGAGTTCAGTTGTCTCATCTTGTGATCTTAGTGTTGATGGTTATCTTCCTTTAATTCGTAAAGACTCCAATAGTCACATGCTTGGCCTGGGCATTTACATTTGTAAGAATTCTCCCATTTGTCGGGAAACTAGGTTTGAATCCACAGACTACTCTTTTATGTGCTTTCGTTTAGCACCACTTCACTCTATCACCTTTCTCTTTATTCTATATCGCTCTCCTTCATCTTAAGGCTGCACTGTTCTTGATGTTATTTCTAATTATATCAGGGTTGGAAAAAACCCAGGGTTTTTTAAAAAAACCCAACCCAAATGGGTTTTTTTGGGTTTTATGGGTTTTTTGGGTTTTTTTAAAAACCGATCAAAATACCAAATTTTTATAATTGTATGAGTACAATCATTTTTTTTTAAATTTCATAAATTCACCTTCCTATTGCTCCAATGACCACTTCAGTCAAGGGAGCAACTCATTTTTTAAAAATATTTTGTCTCAAACCTTAACATTACCATTTTTACTAACAAACAACATTAACAACTAAAATTTTTAAATAAAGACGCTGTGCGCAGAAATAGATTGAGCACAGTAATTTCAGCAGAGGTAATTTGAACCCCAACCTTCTGGTTGCGAGCCAAATGTTTTACTACTCGTATACTAGCACATTTTACCTATAGTGCAAAAAGGGACTCCATCAACTATAAATGATGTTAATTAATTGCACTAAATTAAAAATACGTTCAGAATATTTTTGTCTAAAAAATCAGTATAAAAATTATTATGACAATTGAGTTACTCAAAGTTGGTAAGACAATATAAATGTTGCAAACTAGTTTTTTTACTAACATGTTCAACATATCATTTCAAAACCTATTTTGCACAAGTTTACAACATGTAATCAACAAGTTTGCAACATGATGTTGCAACCTTATAAGTTATTATGAATCAAGTTGACTATGAACACTTTTTAAACATTTTTGTATCATAGAAGAAAACTGCTAGCCTAGTCACTACATTTTTTTTTATAAGAACATTATACTGTCCAGTTTCCTGAAAAATTTATCCACCTGATCAACTGGACTGGCAAAAAATGGATTTTTGCCTAAACTTTAGTTGTTCTTAAAGTATCTAAAATAAATTTGTTAAGAACCATTACAGTATCTTTGCCACCAAGTTTTTTTTTTTCCTTGAAGATGTTTTACCGGCTCAGTTTTGCAATGCAAATTGCAAACTGAATCAAAGTAACACATTATACAGCACTATTGTGTGTGTTTCTTCACCTTTTAGCAACTTGATACTGATGTTAATTTTCAACCCGCTGTTCATAGTCACCCTTGTTGGTGGTACATGTTGTAAAAATGTAGCTGATGCAAAATATTCAAAACCTATCAAAAGACAGATGAGCACGAGTGTCATTTTCACCAACAAATCTTGTCTTTGTGAAATGCATACAAGTTTTCAACATGTTCTCTCATTGAATGAGCAAACATGTTGCAAACTTGCTTGCACATAACTTAATTTTTTTTAAGTTTTTAAGTTGTATGTACTTAAGGACAAATCTAGTAAACTGTAGCATTTTTTTTTTTGTCTGACAACTTTCCATTTCTAAACTGTAAATAAAGTTTAATAATTTTTATATATAGTATTTTGCTTGTGGCTTTCTACTGAAATTTGCAGTTTACAACATAAGCTTTAAAAAATAAAAGAGCAAATACCAATATAAAGGAATATAGACATTCGAGAGGAGAATAAAGATACTAAATAACTAGTAATGTCTTGAAATTTAGTTAATAGAATGATTTTTATTTCCTTTATAAGTATTTAACTAATTTAATGTTTTAATACATATTTCAATAACATTTATAATAACTTGCTAAATGTTTAAAAATAATAATAAATAACCAACTTGCTACAAAAACAAATTGATCGGTTTTGGGTATACTCTAAATACCATTATGTATATAAATACAGTGTTTACAAGAGTAATTACAGTATAAAGGTTGCACTTGCTGATAATAAAGTATTTATAAGTGTTAAAATCAAAGTTATCAGTTGTAAAATAGGACATTTTTAAAAAAACCCAAATATATTTTGGGTTTTTTTGGGTTTTATTGGGTTTTTTTAAGGTGGGTTTTTTTGGGTTTTTTTGGGTTGGGTTTTTTTGGGTTGGGTTTTTTTGGGTTGGTTTTTTTTGCCAACCCTGAATTATATTGACCAAGCCCTCATTCTTTATCCATCAGTTAATATTGTTGTTGTCAGTGACTTTAATGTTCATCAAACTGAATGGCTTGGCTTTAGTATCAGTGACTCTGCAGGCATTAAGGCCCACAATTGCCTTTCTCAATCCCTAACTCAAATAGTCAACTTTCCAACTCGCTTTCCTGACAACTCGAATCATTTACCTTCTCTACTCGACTTATGTCTTGTTTCTAATCCTAGTCAGTGCTCAGTTTCTCCACACTCACCCTTAGGTGCTTCTGATCATGGTTTGGTCTCTCTAAAACTATTATCTCATTCTTCTTTACATCAGAATCCCCCTATCATTGTATATCTTACAACTACCTTAAAGCTGACTGGGACTCTTTCTGTGATTTTCTTTGTGATGGCCCCTGGGTAGAAATCTTTCGTCTTCCTGTTGACAAATAAGCTTCTTACATAACTTCATGGATTCAGGCTGGCATGGAATCCTTTATTCCCTCTCGACGATTCCAGGTCAAGCCTCACTCTTCTCCATGGTTTTCCTCACAATGTGCTGCTGCAATTGCCAATCGAAACCATTACTTCCATATCTATCAGCAAAACAATTCTCCAGAAAACAGGCGTCTGTTTATTACTACTAGGAACCATTGTAAAAAGGTTTTGTCTAACGCCAAAGCCCAACTATTTTTAGACCATAAAATCTTGTATTTCATCACAAAAATTAGGCTCTGGTGACTTCTGGAGAATCTTTAATAGTATCAATAATAAGGGCAAGTCTGTAATTCCACCTCTTTTGTATAGTTCAGACTTTGTCACCTCACCTAAAGACAAAACTGAATTTTTTGCCAAGAACTTTTCATCAATATCATCTCTTGATTCCACTAGTTGCGTTCTACCTGATATAGTTGTCAAACAGGTTGATCCGTTGCTCGACATCCGTATCACTCCAGCTTCTGTTTCTAAAGTGATTTCCTGCTTAGACTCTTCTACAGCTTGCGGCTCGGACAACATACCCGTTATAGTCTTGCAGAAGTGTTCTCCGGAGCTGTCGTCTATCCTTTCAAAACTATTTAACAAGTGCTTATCAGAGTCTTGTTTTCCAGCCTGCTGGAAAGCAGCATCTGTTATCCCTATTTATAAAAATTCTGGAGAGCGATCTGATTTATCTAACTACTGTCCCATTAGTCTTCCTATCATAAGGAAGGTTTTTGAATCTTTAATTAACAAACACTTAATCTCTCATCTCGAATCTCATAACCTACTTTCTGATCATCAATATGGATTTTGATCTTCTCGTTCTAAAGCTGATTTGGTTTATCTGGAAACATCTTTAAGATTATTGAATCCTTCCTTTCCAATAGTAGTATAAAAGTTGTCCTTGATGGACAGCACTCTTCTTCTTATTCTGTAACCTCAGGGGTTCCTCAAGGTTCAATCCTTGGCCCTATACTCTTTTTAATTTACATTAACGATCTTCCAGATATTCTCACATCTAAGGTGGCATTGTTTGCTGATGATACTACCGTTTATTCTTGTCACGATAAGAAGCCAACTCCTTCTGATTGCTTGCAGGGGGCACCTAAGCTTGAAAAGGATCTCACTTCTGCCACAGCATGGGGCTCACAGTGGCTGGTGAACTTTAATTCAGAT